AATATTTATAGAAATATTTACAAAATATTACTATAAATATTTATTTTTTGTTTACTATAAATATTGTATGAAATATTTAGCCTATATTTTAATAATATTTTGAATAAAGATCTTAATACTTTTTTTCTTTATATATATAAATATTTATAAAATATTTATATAATATTAAAAAAAAATAATTCGAAATAAATATTTATAAATCTTTATCATAAATATTATGTGCTATCTGAGTAAATCGTTAAAACATATATAAAGACACTCTCTAACATATTCTGAACTTTGTTTTATCTTGGACAGATATCAAAAGTCCATAAGATATACTGATGAGGATATCTGTTTTATGTTCAAAATCGGTCCTATGGACGTCCAATTTATATCCCTGGACATAAGGACGTAAAATGGACATGAAATGGATGTCCTATGGATGTCCTATGCTGTCTGGGAGGTTGTTTTAAGAGATAAACAGAAATATTTACATACTTTTCTCGGTGGTACAAATTAATACAAATTCAGAAACAATTAAATTTATCGTTTTCTGTCGGTTTTTACCAGTTTTCATTTTGTTCTCTTTATACTAAGTCAGCCTCAATATTTTTTTAAATAAAACGAGGTACAAAATCATTTTTGATAATACAAAATAATACACGATTAATGTAATTTTGTACCATTAAAAACAAATTTTGTATCCCACATCCTTTAAGAGAAATCGTGGTCCAACTGACTCAATATAAAGTCAGCAAAATAAAAATTGTTAAAAACACGAAACAAATAGTAGATTTTGTCGTTTCAGAATTGGTATCACCAAAAAAAGTATCAAAAATATTTCTACCCACCCTTTAAAATAACTTCAACTTTGACCTCAGCTTCAAGAATAAAGCTTTTTGCTTCAATTATTAAGTATTAAATCAGTAAAATCAAATCAAATTTATTGCATTTTTCAGTACTTATAGTATACTCTTATAGAAATATCATACTAAGAATCATTGATAATTACTTATTTTCAGTATTAAAAATACTGGATAATAAGTAATTATCAATGATTCTTAGTATGATATTTCTATAAGGGTAGTATTTTGTACCATTAAAAATGATTTTGTACCTTGTTTTATTTATCAAAAATTGTGGTTCTGCTGACTTATTTTTAAGCTAATAGAGTAAATATCATTGAAAAACGGCAAGTTGCAATAGATTTTATCGTTTCTGAATTTGTACTAAATTGTACCACCGAAAAAAAGTATGCAAATATTTCTGTTTACCCCTTAAAATAACCTCACATTTAACCAACCTCAAAATTAAAATTTCTCTTTTTCGATTATTAAGAATTAAATCGATAGAATTAAATTATATTTATTGCGTTTTTTATTACTCATTGTGTACTATTCTGTACCATAAAAAATAATTTTATACCCCGTACTATTTAAAAAAATATTGTGGTCCTGCTAACTTAATATAAAAAGAACAGAATAAAAACGACAAGAAATGATAGATTTTATCGTTTTTGAATTTGTACTACCCTTATAGAAATATCATACTAAAAATCATTGATAATTACTTATTATCCAGTATTTTTTATACTGAAAATAAGTAATTATCAATGATTCTTAGTATGATATTTCTATAAGGGTAATTTGTACCATCAAGAAAAAGTGAAAAAATCGTGGTCCTGCTATCTTTATATTATTTTTAGATAAGGGAGGGGTTGTTTAAAGGGGAAAATATAAAATTTTCTATTTATTTCGAATGGTACAAATTATTACAAATTCAGCACTAATTGTGTGTACCATGGTTTTTTTTTTTGGTCCTGCAAGCTTGATATTGTGGCCTTCGGGAATTTTCCCCTAGGAAATATCTCCTCGAGCTGTAGGCTCACTAGTTAACAATTGGTAATGGATGGACGATAGAAAAGGTAGCAGAGAGCGCATCTCTAGTGAGTTGAGTAACAGAGTCGTACGTCGAATGTTATACGTGAGAGAAAACAATAAAGTTCAGTTCTGTAGTAAATCAGGATTTATTTTTCTTCTGATTTTGTTCCTGCACCGACCGGAGTCACGAGATCGCGTTTTCGGTAAATGTGGACGGTCATAATCCCACATTTAATGGTGATCCCGACGTGATCCGGCGAACGGTGTATACCTGTGTGTGACGGTTCACTCGTATGGCCACGTTGCGATCGCCGCCGCATACGCGACAGGGAACGGCTTACGATGGCAGAATGCCGAGAGGAGATGACCATCGAGCGCCGGCCGTGGCCGTAGGGGCCGGTACAGCGACTCAGGAGCCGCACCCCGCCTTGAGCAGCAGCACAAAACATTTTAAACTGCCCACGTGGACAGGTCGTGACGTCGACACATGGCTAGAAATGACGGACCTGATCTTCGAGGCTTACGGATGCAACAACGCGGCAGTACGGTTCGGGAAAATGCTCAGCCAAATACCCGTTGAAGTCATCAAACAAATCGACCCGGCTTACAAAGCATTGCCGGTAGAGCAGCGGTACGCGGCGTTAGCGCGGGCGCTCACGGATCGATTCGCCGTTTCAAAGACAACGCGACTCAACGAGCGTCTGTCGCGGTGCGTGCTTGGTGACAAGAAGCCGTCTCACCTTTTGCAGGAGATGCAAAAGGTGACCCAGGGTCACGCAGACGGGACAATGCTGGAATCATTGTGGACGCAGCGCCTACCTCAGCAGGTGCGTGGCATTATTGCAGCAGCAGCTTCGGCATCGCTCGACGATAAAGCTAAGGTCGCCGACGAGGTTCTAGAGGCAACAGGCGTCGCCGTGACGGGCACCATTGCTGCCACATCTTCTGGCATCGTCGGTTCGGCTGGGCAACCTCGGGAACCGTGTCCGAGCGGCGATGTTAACTGGGTTGCGATGCTCAGTGAGATGCGTCAGGAGATCGCCGCTATTGGGTCGCAGCTTGCGCCGCGTGACACCAACAGGAACGGAAGGCGCTCGCGGTCGAGGAATCAACAGTAGCACGAACGACAAAGTGGTCCACTGAGGGAACAGTCAGCCCAAGGTAAAAACAAGACCATCTGTTTCTACCACAGAAATTTCGGGGCCAAAGCACGCAAGTGCACCCCGCCATGTCTTTTTGAGTCCACGGAAAACGACACCAGCCACTGAACGGCGGAGCTCAGTGGCCTCCCTAGGGAAGACCGCCTCTATGTCACTGATGTCAGGAGCAGTACCATCTATTTGGCGGATACCGGAGCGACAGTCTCGGCGATCCCACCGATTAAGGGACAACGGCCGCTCGAATCCTCATTGTTCGCAGCAAACGGTACACCCATCAAGGTCTACGGCAAGAGCATTATCACGCTCGATCTCGGTCTCAGAAGAGATTTCACCTGGCAGTTTGTAATCGCCGATGTCAGCACACCGATTCTAGGGGCCGATTTTCTAAAGTACCATCGGCTCGATGTCTCTTTGCATCGAGGATCATTAATCGACCAGACTACTGGGTTATCAATTCGAGGAGAAGTGCGCGCAATTAGCGCGCATGGTCTCTCAACGTTCGATACGTCACGAGCTTTTCACCAGTTGCTGGTGGATTTTCCGGAGATAACGAGGGATACTCACTGCACGGCACACCGTAAGCACAGCATTGAGCATCACATCGTCACCAAAGGACCGCCCATTGCCGAACGGGCAAGGCGACTACCCCCGGAGAAGTATAAGGCAGCAAAGGCCGAGTTCCAATTCATGCTAAAGAAGGGAATTTGCCGGCCATCTAGCAGTCCATGGGCTAGGCCGTTACATTTAGTGCCAAAAAAGCAACCCGGAACTTGGCGTCCATGTGGGGACTATCGGCGCCTTAACGCAGTCACGGTGCCGGACAAGTATCCCATCGCCACCTTGCAAGACTTCGCGCATGCTCTTCATGGGAAGAGCATTTTCTCGTCGCTGGACCTGGTGCGAGCCTACCACCAGATTCCGGTACACGAGGCTGACATACCGAAGACAACCGTCATCACACCGTTTGGACTTTTTGAATTTCCGGTGATCACCTTTGGACTTTGCAACGGGTCGCAAAGTTTTCAACGATTCATGGACACAGTTCTACGCGGACTTGACTTTATTTACTGCTACATAGACGACGTTCTCATTGCTTCAGCATCGGAGGCAGAGCACAAGGAGCACCTTCAACTTGTCTTCCAGAGATTGCGCGATTACGATCTCGCCATCAATGTGTCCAAATGCACCTTCAGAGTGCGCAAAATCGAATTTCTGGGATTCCTCATCGACAACGAGGGGTCGCGGCCCGCACCCAATAGGGTCGAAGCCATTCGAAGTTATCCACTACCTGGAGTAATCGTGGAGCTTCGCAGATTCCTTGGTATAATCAACTTTTATAGGCGGTTTATCAGGAATGCAGCCAAAGATCAAGCGCTGCTTAACGCGTTCCTCAGAGACAGCAGGAAAAACGACAGGCGACCGATTCCCTGAACGGAGGAAACCAAACGAGCGTTCGAGGAGTGCAAGAGAAGCCTCGCCGAAGCTACGCTTCTCGCGCACCCCGTGGAAAACGCCACGCTCTCAATAGTCACAAATGCGTCAGATACGGCTATTGGCGCAGCTTTAGAGCAGTGGATCAATGACGCGTGGAGACCGCTCGGATTTTTTTCGAAAAAGCTACCTCCGCGCAAGCAAGGGTGGAGTGCGTATGACATGGAGCTGCTCGCTATTTACGGGTGTATATCAGTTGGACACGGGGCAATTGGACACAGTCCAATCACAAGTCGCTGTTCCAAGGGACTCTACAAATGTCTCTAATCACACGGTGCTGTGATTGGCTGTGTCCAAATGCACCGTGTCCAAGTGCACCGCTCCCGCTATTTACGAGGGTCTCAAATATTTCAGTTTCATGGTCGAAGGACGCCGGCTCGTTATTCGCACCGACCACAAACCACTTACATATGCGTTTGCTCAGAAGGCAGAAAAGGCTTCACCTACGCAAGCAAAGCAGTTATCGTTCATTAGCCGGTTCACCACGATGATTCTCCATGTGGCAGGGACAGACAACATTGTGGCGAATGCACTCTCGCGTGTCGAAGCGATCGACATGCCCACAGCAATATCCACGGCTGATATCGCTGCAACTCAACAAGGCTATAAAGAACTTCAAACCCTACGGGAACAACCTAGTTCACTTGTCCTCATGGGATATGCAGTCGACGACTCACCACACCTTCTCACGTGTGACACATCTGTAGGAGTCATTCGACCATACATTCCCGAAGCGCTACGTCATCGAATCTTCCATTTAACACACAACCTGGCTCACCCGAGTGGCAGAGCTACCAGTAGGATGATCGCAAAAAAATTCATATGGCCGAGACTTGATAAGGACGTCACAAGATGGGCAAGAGCATGCGTGCCGTGTCAAGTATCTAAAATTGGTCGACACACACGAAGCGCGCCCCGACACATTGCGGTGCCAGAGAGGAGATTTCAGTAGGTGATACCTGGATATCATCGGGCTTTTACCCGTAATTCGAGAATACAGGTACTGCCTGACCATGATAGATCGGTTTACCAGGTGGCCAGAGGTCATACCGATCAAGGACATCACAGCGGAAACTATTGCTGACACTTTCGTCGCGCACTGGATTTCGCGATATGGATCACCACGCTGGATCACCACGCTGCATAACCACCGACCAAGGGTCGCAATTTGAAGCAAGATTATTCAACGCTCTCAGGAACGCCATAAGTTGTCGTCGGATCCGGACTTCTTCCTATCATCCCAAGAGCAATGGTATAATTGAGAGAAGGCATCGTACCCTAAAAGCAGCTATTATGTGCCAGCAGACGCACGACTGGCCCAATGCTCTACCGCTCATGTTACTAGGACTTCGTACAGCATACAGAGAAGAATTAAAAGGTTCGGTTGCGGAACTGTTGTATGGCACAACTTTAACAGTACCAGGCGATTTTTTCTTAGAGCCGGAAATGGAAGTGGAGCCACAAGTTTTCATACAGAAGCACCGCGAAATCATGGCAAGAATACGACCGACACCGACCTCACCATCATATCAAACGGTCTTCTTTTGTGCACAAGGATCTACACTCATGCACGCACGTTTTCTTGAGGGACGACAGACCGAGGCCACCTTTGACGAAGCCATACGAGGGACCGTTTGAAGTAATTCGTAGAATCAGCGACATTCTTTTTGTCATCAAATTAGCCAACGGCGCGGAATTAACAGTTGCCACCGAGAAACTAAAACCAGCGTACCAGTTGAACGAGACTATTGAGGCACGACAACAGAAGCAAACGCTGAACCAATCGTCCAGGTTGCGAACAGATTCAGGAGCAAGTGAAAAGCGTAAGGTGACCTTCAGCACAGAGACCGAGGTTCAATATTTTGTAACCAGCATAGCACAATCTTAAATCGCCCATATTCTTATATTGTATCATCATCATTAGTTTTCTTTTTCTTTGTAATGCGCGACACGTGATTTGGACACCTTCGCAGCATCGGATGAACGCCTACATAATCTGTGATTCTCTCTCGTGAACTAGATTTAAGCATCAAGTGCCTAACAAAAAAAAAGAAACAGCTAAGTGTCAAAACCGAATTCGGGATGTAGCGACGAAATCTCTTTCGCTTTGACACTTGAGAGGGGTACTGTGGCCTTCGGGAATTTTCTCCTAGGAAATTTCTCCTCGAGCTGTAGGCTCACTAGTTAACAATTGGTAACGGACGGACGATAAAAAAGGTAGCAGAAAGCGCATCTCTAGTGAGTTGAGTAATAGAGTCGTACGTCGAATGTTATACGTGAGAGAAAACAATAAAGATCAGTTCGGTAGTATATCAGGATTTATTTTTCTTCTGATTTTGTTCTTGCACACCGACCGGAGTCACGAGATCGCGTTTTCGATAAATGTGGACGGTCATAATCCCACAATATCAAGTTAGCAGCGCCACCATTTTTTTTAAAACGGCACGTGGTACACAATACCACGTGGTTTTTTGTGGTACAAAATAATACAAAATGAGTACTAAAAAATGCAATAGGTCCAATTCGATCCTGCTCATTTGGTTCCCTTATAGAAATATCATACTAAGAATCATTGACAATTACTTATTATCCAGTATTTTTAATACTGAAAATAAGTAATTATCAATGATTCTTAGTATATTTCTATAAGGGTCCTGCTAGCTTGAGAGAGATTTCATTAGATTGTATTCTCTTATTTGCAACAGGATAGCGTACATGAATCTTTTCCTCTAGTGTGAACTCATGAAAAGTGAAAATTTTGTAATGAACTCGTGAAAGATGAAAACCTTCACTAAATTCGTGAAAATAAAAGATTTAACGTGAATTTGTAAGTAAAACAAATATTACAATATACTCAAGACAACATCAATTTGCAATGGACATCTTTAGAATTTTTTCAGCATGTTTTTAAGACATAGGCCAGTATTCATAGTCAAATCTTATATTTAAGACCGTCTTAAGTTTATCTTCAGATGATGGACGGATCATTTCATTGGCTACGGAGTATCTGAAGATAAACTTAAGCCAGCCTCAAAAATAAAATCCGACTATGAATACCGGCCATAGTGATGTCTTTAGAACGTCCCTTGGAAGTCTGCTTGTCTGGGATTACTTTAGGATAAATTATTAAA